TCCTCAGGCACAGTGACCATAATGTAAGTATTTGCTGCTTAATAAAAATCATAAGAACTCATATTGTTAAGTTTTACATATGTACAGCTATGGTTTTGATATTGTCTATGTAGGAACATTCAGGAAGCATAGAAAGAGTTAACAGTGGGTAATGGCTTCTTAGGGTTATGATCAATATCATGTGATGAATATTATTGTCAATTTATAAGAATAGGTGAAACAATGAAATTTGTATAGTGAACGCTTTGCATCAAAGCTCCTGACATGTTAAATCTCCTTACAAGGGCTGTGTGGTCAATGCTGTGTCTAGTGATTAGTAAATATTTTTAGGTTGACTACCATGAACTCACTTTAAAGTTAATAATCTTATTTTTTTTTAACAACATGGAATTTTTCTTTCGTCTGTTTCTTCTCTTCTTTCATTTTAACCTTTTTTTTGCTAATATGTAAACCGTCTTGAAAAGTCAGAGCAAATTCTGGGCTTTATAATGAAAAGGTGACCATATTTGTTTATTGTGATTTGCTTTAATCTGTAAGAGGCCCTTAAGAATTTATCAGGCCACAGAAGAAGACAGTGCAGCCAGTCCTGATGAGATAGGCTAGGGTCAGATAGAAAGGGAGGAAACCTCCCCTATCAGTGGACTAGGGGAGGGGCATAGGAGGAGAAGAGGAAGGAAGGGTGGGACTGGAAGGAGATGAGGGAGGGGACTACAGCTGGGATACAAAGTGAATAAATTGTAATAAATAAATGTTTTCAAGGAAAAAATACTTAAACTGTATAAAAGAAAGGAAGAAAGAAAGAAAGAAAGAAAGAAAGAAAGAAAGAAAGAAAGAAAGAAAGGAAGAAAAAGAGAAAGAAAGAAAGAGAGAAAGAAGGGAATTCATCAGTTGTACTGTCTGTACAAGTATCACCTTCTAATGTGAAGAGCTCAAGCCTTGGGATGTCTTACAGGTTAACCCTGTTCTCCAAAAACTCTATACTCCATACTTGTTTCAAAGGCAGAGTATTTAGGGAAAACTACACTATTTGCTTTTATTGAGTCACTTCCAATTAAGATTTTCCAGAATTTTTATAAACAGATTAAAATTTGATTTAATGTATCATAGCCCGTATAGAAGCAAAATCTTAATAATTTCAATATGAAAATGAAAACTTTCTAACAGTGTAGAAAAGCGAAAGCATGTATGTTGTCATTCATGTACGTTTTGGTAATCAAAGAAAAAAAAAAACAACTTTCACGCCAAAGTGCCTGGGGTTGATAAAGATAACAGTTACTGTTTGAGAATTACATGCCAATGTGGAGCAGGTGTCTTTCGTTCGTCCAGCATGTAAATGTATGTGTTCACTCTATTTCAGGCACTGTCACATGACCTGAAGGTGTCATGAATACTAAGTATGCACTCCACGCAGCTTACCCCTCAGTGAGATTTGGACCTAGCAACTAAAGAAAGCCAAGTCACTACTTCACGATTTGCATTGAGAATTTTCAGGAGATTAAATATTGTTTCCAGCACGAACAAAATGAAATTATACTTCAGTTGTTAGGATATGGAGAAAATAAAATGACACTCATCTTTCATATACGTGAAAGATTGATTTTTTTATAATTTTTTATTTTTATTAATTACAGTTTATTCCCTTTGTATCCCACCTATAGCTCCCTCCCTTCTTCTTCCCCTCCCAATTCCACCTTTCTTCCCTCTTCTCCACCTATTTCCCTCCCCAAGTCCATTGATACGGGAGGTCCTTTCCTTCTGATTCTATTCTATCAGGTCTCATCAGGAGTAGCTGCATTGTCTTCCACTGTGGCGAATCTTAAGAAAGAAGGGGAAGATAGTAAGACCTGGAGAGGACAGGAGCTCCACAAAAAGAGCAGAATCAAAAAATCTGGGCATAGCGGTCTTTTCTAAGACTTATTATACTCTAACCAAGAACCATGCATGGAGACAACCTAGAACCCCTGCACAGATGTAGCCCATGGCAGTTCAGTGTCCAAGTGGGTTCCATAATAATGGGATCAGGGACTGTCTCTGACATGAACTCAGTGGCTTGCTTTTTGATCACCTCCCCCTGAAGGGGGTACAGCCTAACCAGGCCACAGAGGAAGACAATGCATCCAGTCCTGATGAGACCTGATAGACTAGGATCAAAGGGAAGGGGTGGAGGACCTTCTGTATCAGTGGACTTTTGTTTGTTGCTTATGTACTTCACATTTGACCTTAGCTTTCTCAAACTTCTTACTTAAACATTTTGGACGGGTAGAGGATTCTCAGTTTTCTGATTTTTCCAATCAGCATAAGTTGCATGTTACTTAGAGGAAGGTTGCTATCAGTGACCAAACCGTCACAGCAACGTGTTCACTACCAGCTTAAAATGCTGGAAAAGGCAGGTGATAAAGGCACACAAAGCCAGGTTCCAAAAATATTTCAGGATTCTTAACCTCTCTCCATAGAGAATCATCACGTTGTAGATTTAGTGTGCAGTCTCTGGGATTGGAAATAAATGAATAAATGCTTGAGCATCTGGGTCTCTCATGCCGGTGACATGGGAACCCTATCTAGGAAAACACCTTTCTGACGTGGCCCTTCAGCAGACTCATGATCTTAACCTGGACTACTTTCGTTTAATTCTACTCGTACTTTTTCTAGAACCCGCTGGAGGTGGCTATCCAAGGCCTGCAGAAAGTCGTGCTCACAGATTTCTTACATTAAAGTTTGAAGATCTAGAATTATCAGTGACTGAATGACCAGAATATTTCCCCAGGGGTGGGGGATAGGACAAGGTGGCAAGCATGGAGGTATCTATAATTGTGTTATGACTCTAAGGAAAAGGATTCAGATGTCTTCTTGTTTCTGTGTAGTTTGTTTGCCATGAATGAGCAAATAAAGACCCATTGTGACGTGAACTGCTGCTCTCAATGAAGTTTGAGCTGTGTTCCCTTGATACATTTGAAAGAACACGGCTTTCTTCCCACAGTGGTTTTAGCTTGTGACCCTCTAGCCTGGTGGATGTTCTCTAGACTGTAGTTCCAAAAACCTTATGGGCTGTCAACTCAGAGAACCTCGCCAGCTCCATTAGATCTCAACATTCTTGTCTTTGGGACTGGATCAGTAAGAGTAACTACTGGGTGTGGTTACAAAGACTGAATGAGAAAATTCAGGTAGGACAGTCACTGCTATTCCCAGCCTCTGGCTCTTCCTTCTCTGTTATCTTCATTGTCTGAGGAGTTGGTTCCAGGATCCCACATAGATACCGTGCTCTACTACAGGTGCCCTTGTCCTTATGTACAACCACATAGTATTTACATATTACCCATAGCTAGCTTCCTGTGTATGAGATCAACTCCTCAGAGTAGTTCTTGGTCATAATTTTATTACTTTATAGGTTTGTTCTCTTTTTGCAGAGTTCTCAGTCGTCTTTATTAATAGCCACGACATGCTTGCCTGGCGCCTGTTTTCAGCCTGGCTGTGTTTTGTACCATAATATAAAATACCATACAGACACAGGGTAACTTTAAAAAGACTTATTTCATTATTTTTAATTATGTGTATGTGTGTGTATGAGTGGATGTGCATGTGAGCGCAGGTGTGTGTATGAGTGTGAGTGTGTGTGTGTGAGTGCAGGTGCCCACTGGGGCCAAAGCCATCAACCCCACTGAAACTGAAGTTCCAGACAATTGCAAACTGCCCACCATGGCTGCTGGGAGTCAAATTTGGCCTTTCTGTAAGAGCAGCACCTGTTGTTCACCAATGAGATATCTCTCCAGGCGAGAGACGTGGTGACTCAAAGAGGAAAAGAATCTTTTAAAAATTTGTTTATTCACTTTATGTCCCAATCGCAGCCCCCTTCCTCTTCTGTTCCCAGTCCACCCCTTCCTTTCTCTTCCCCCTCTTCCCTCTCCTATTCCTCAAAAAAGGGGAGCCCACCAGCAACAACAACTCACCCCAGCTCATCAAGTCCCCTGTGGCCTGGCCAGGCAGCCCCACCAGGGGGAAGTGACCAAATAGCAGGTAATAGAGACCATGTGAGAGAGCTCCTGCTCCCCTTACTAGGGAACCCACATGTAGCCCATTGGCTACATCTGTGGACCCAACGGAGGATGCTTAAATCTCACTCAGAAGGGGAAATAGAATAGACAATGGAAGTGGTTGAAGAGAGGGAACCAGGTAGGAGAGGGAGCACAGAGAGAAAGGAGGGTAGAGATCAGACCTGGAGAGGGTAGGGCAGGAGGACTAAAGACCTGCAGAGAGAAGAGAAACTGTGGGTGTGCTCATCTCTGTGACAAGCTGGAAACCTAAGATAGGATAGGTTTCTGGAAAGATTGTGGGGGTGACTGTAGCTGAGACTCCAAGACTGAAGAGGCCACCCTCTAACTAGACAGGACTCCTAGTGGAGGGAGGGAACTCCAACCAACCCACAAAAACTTCAACCCAAAATTTACAAGATGTATAGGGATAAAGATAGAGCAGAGGTGGAGGCAATGTCCAACCAATGCCTGGCCCTACCCCATGGGAGAGAGCCAACCCCTGACACTGTTCATGACACTCTGCTGTGTTCTCAGAGAGGAGCCTGACATAGCTGTCCTCTGAGAAGCTCCTGTTTCTGCTGGTTTTCAGCATGTCAGAATGTGTCGTTTCTCTTCCTAGCCATCACATTGATTGATGGTCTGGTAGAGGATATACATACTTCTTTATGTATTCACAGTAGAATGCAAATAAAATCAGAGATTGAAGTGGGGGACAGTTCCTGTGAACAACACTATTTAGTCTCGCACAGAAAAACAAAAACAGGCCACTAGATATGTCATTCACTGATACTTTCTGAGTCACAGGTAGATATTTCCTGAAAAAGAAATTTGATCCTAATTTTTGATGATGGGAACAAGGGAAAGAAGGCAATATTTGATTTATAACTAAAATGGATTTTTTCTTTAATATGGAAACTGTAAAATAAATTATGAAGTGATAATTGCTAATATTTATTTTTCCATAACAGGACAGAAATGAATCAGTTGATGCTCAAAACACTTGTCATCTGTGGCACATGAATATAGAAACCCTTCCAGACTGGATAAACTGCCGAGTACAAAAAGTAAGTTTCTCTCTCCCTGAGTAAAGTTAAGAATGGCCTTCAAGATACTTACATGCTCTTTTTCTTTCTTAGACATGCTTTTTCAGAACACATGAGTGATTCTATTTCTCCTGGCTCTTCTACTCTTTCTGGGGAGTACTTTTCTATATAACTTTGCACCTGGTATCTGCAGTCTCTAAGTGTGCCAACAGATACTAACCTTGTTTTCCCCCCATTTCTATTGTTCTTTGTTTTTAGTGAGACATTGCCTAGCAACCTGTTAACTGCCAACCACTGTCCATCTTCTCACTGCCTTCCTCTCCCCTCTGCTTTATATGCCCGTATCACGCAGGCTTAAGCACACGGCATTATGTATCACTGGAAAATATACATGAGGATATAATGGCACACAAATATATACTCACACACAGACACACACACACAGTCAAACATGCCTGCATTTAGCTTGCTCATTCCTCATTAATTTCCAAGCTTCCATAATAGAACATGAACACCATAAAACAAGAAAATCTTATTCTTTGCTGACTACTGTGTCCTTAGCAGCTAGAATCGTGCCTGTTTTACCAAGTGAGTAAGATATCTTTGTGCATCCATCATATATATATACACAAAACAAAGTAAGCTGAATAATTAATGTCTTATTGGGATGATGAAAATGGAAATGTTCTGCTTTGGGTGATATTTAATGAAATATTGTCAGAAAAAGAACTCTTGTTAATTGTGTGATGGTTTAGATATTTTATTTTGCATTGCTAAATGCTTGTCTTGGAATAGCATAAGTAATCTGAATTACTGTAATTAATTAATTAATCTGTAATTAAATTTCTCCAAAGTAACTTATGTTTTTATGTAGAGTGGCACGCGGTGGCTCTCCCTTGAATCCCTGCTTACACTTTGATTCCCTGGGAGCATGCTGGTGTCCTGCTTCTAAGTGTTCCAAGCTTCACGGAATAGATTAGAACCCTATGGAGGCCCCACTGTTTTTCTTAACAATTTTAAAAGCAGTTCATTAATTTCTAATCCAAGTATGGAAATATGCCATCTGAGTAAGGCGAGCGATACCTCTTGGTTGTGCTTACAAAACCAGGGAACTCTTTATTCTCTTGGCTGATAAAGTTTCCTCCCCCTGTGCTTGGCATGCAAGAAGTGAATCAGAACAGACACTTTTCTGTGAGATTTTACTTGCAAATGAAGCTCTGTAGACTGATTTGCTTCCTGGTTCCATGGAGTATTTTTTTCTTTTCATTAGTTCACACTGTATCTGCATTCAGCCTATTGTTCAGAGACTTTCTTTAGGAATTCTTGGCCCTCCCGATAGGCATGATTTGCAGTATGTATCATTCTAGAAGTTCGAAGTTCGTAGCTGCTTGCTTATCTGTGTTTACTGGAAGGCTTGTTTCCGTTTGCTGTTCCGTCTACTAATCAGAAAACAGAAAGCTAGCCTTTTCAGTAACAGAAAATATTCATGTGATCGGCTTTTTTTTTTTTTTTTCAACTCATTCTCTGGTCACTTTACAATGAAAGCATTGTCTTTATTTCCCTTTACTACCTGTAGGCCCAGTGGACAGTTGGGAAACTGAATTGTCCTTTCTGTGGGGCCCGATTAGGGGGCTTTAATTTTGTCAGCACTCCAAAATGTTCCTGTGGCCAGCTTGCAGCTGTACATCTCTGCAAGAGCCGGACTGATCATCAAGCAGCACAAGCCAGCAGACTAATGAGACCAGCGCTGAAATACTTGTCACATCCCGGAGTTCCATCAGCTTGTGATAAGGAAACTCTGCGGACAGGTGGTGGCTCCAGAACCAGAAACCACAGGCTTTTAAGCATGGCCCGGAACAATAACGGCCTTGGAAGACTAGCGGAGGCCCTCTGTCTGGAGGTGCGAGCGACACATTTTGAGATGAAGAATGAAAAACTGCTCTTCAAAGCATCAGACCCAAAATACCAGCCCTTTGTTCCTCAGCTGGCAGCCGGCAGGTGCACTTCAAGAGCTTCTCACAGAAAGTCACACAGTTTGGACCTGAGCATCAGTGAGAAGCTGATTTTATTACCCACTTTATATGAAATACGTAGTAAGACTACTGCCTATCCCACACTAAATGAAACACGGCCCATTGACCTTTCAGGCTTGGCTTTGTCATGTAGTAAAAGTAGCTGCTCTTTTCAAAACGCACCCAGTTTTGATCCTAATATGCTGCTGCACAGACTTTCAATGGCTCCCCATGAGACCCAGGCACAAAGAGGAAGAGAATTTCCGTGTGGCCTAGAAGCTTCTTCAGTTTACTCAGATCATGCTAATGCTAACAGCCTGACATTCCTGATGGATCTGCCCTCAGCGGGGAGGAGCATGCTGGAGGCCTCAGACCAAGAAGAACACCTCTCCCCTCTGGACTTTCTGCGCTCTGCCAGTTTCCCCTTGGGCACCATTAACCACAGGCTGAATAACAGAGAGAGGAGCAAGTTGAGGACTCTAAGAAGGCAGCAGCGGAGGCGTGAGAGATGGCTACAGAAGCAGGTAAGTGCTTTGAAACCAGAGTTTAGCAAAATCACAGTATTTATAAGTACCACGGGTTGTGGAACAGAGGTAAATTTGAATGTTTGTATTCTGAATTCTTAGTTTTACGTTTTAAGACAACCTGTCACTCTATGGATGCTTAATAATTATGCAGCCCTCTTTTCCTTGGCACTGTATAGTCTGCTTCCATGCTTCCTATATATTTAGAAAAAGCCCCTTTCCCAGCCTTCCCCAATCCTGCTAATACATAGAGGCCCACCTACCTTATGATAGTGAGAGTGGAGGAATTGTAATGAGTATTTATTTAAGCTTGTACCATGTTTAGATTGCTTTTGCTATGGTTTTGTTTCAGGTTTCCAAATCTAATCTGGTAAGAATTCATTTACTCTTTAACCCATTTATCTTGATTTAATATTCAATTACTGCATTCATATGCTCACGTGGTCAAGCCATGAATAACTGCTGAATGTTGAGGCATACCTGAAGGGGAATTTACTCAGGCTGACATTTTACAGCACAGTTTGATTCTCTAGCATTTGAACTACTTGTGTGCCCCTCACAGTATTTGAATGGTTGTGAGCATAAAAGGAAACAGTACTGTGGAAACCACTTAAAGTAAATGGATGGTAAGCTATGAAATTTGAAAGTTTGGAAACTAGTATATTTCTGTATAAAAATTTTTTTGAAGCATACCTTTTTTGTTTGCTTATTAGTAACGAGTGGTAGTTCTTATTAATGTGTTTTATATTAACTATATCCTAAGAATTAAAATAAAAAAGCTGAAGCTGCCCTGTATATTTGTTAGGTGAAATCGTTATGATCCTAACCATAGACTTAATAAACTACTGCGCTGAGCCCTTCAGCCAGATTAAGTAGGATTTTCTTCTTTCATTATGTTGCATAATTACAGGTATTGTCTATTGCATAGACATTTTGATTTGCTGCTAGTAAGAACATCTCAGTTTGAATTATTTGTTAATGATAGTTTAATGTGATAGCAAAGTATGTGCTATAGAAATAAGTATGCCTTTGCGTCATTGCCCATCGTGAGAGTCTGTGTTAGAAACCATAAAAGTAAGTGTTTATAGAGAAGTTTATTTATATGTAAGTGAATTGGAGATAACCATATGTTAAGTGTTATTCGAAAAGAATATATTCAAAACAATGTGCAGGCTCTGAAATAATTCTTTTGAAGTAAATTTTTTAAAGTTGTGAAATTTGCATTAACTATACACTGATGATATATGCAAATGATATTACATTTTTGCAAATTGATTTAATTCTTGGGTTAGAGTCTTCTACAAATTTCAGCTATATCATTAATCATTTCTAACAAAGTGTTACAGGTTAGAGGGGGCAAGTGCAGAGTTAAATATTGAATTTTTTGATAGATGAAATTATTTTTATTCATTCACACATGGAGAGTTTGGCTAGTATGTGTAGCTGATTCATCAGAACTGAGGAAACTGAGTCAGATTTGTGACCTGTCAGTGTAGAGACTAACAGAAGATCTAACAGGCTTAATTGATAGCACAGGATGCTATAGACAGGCAAGTGCCCAGTATATCTTCAGCAGAAAAGCTGTGAATTTATGATACATACACACCATTGTCAGAGCTAGAAATAATAACTTTAGAAAGTGTGACTTGCGGATTCAAACAGAAAGACAACTCCTAGCAAGAGTTAATATCTGAGATAAAATAATAGTGTAATTTGACAAGTCATATGGATGACTTCATATGGATGACTTCAACCAAGATTCATTCCTTGATCAAATTCCTGCTTGAGGTAGCAAGGCCTCAAGTAGTGACTTCCATATAAACACCTCCTTTCATTCCTTGCTGTGAGGAGGGAGGGAACCAGGGACTGGGCATTACTAAGTACCTTTGCTAAGTCTGAACTACACCCTGGGGCCAGAGTCTACCTCTTCCTTTTTTTTTTTAAATTAGAAGGGTGATCACACACACAAAGTAATAGTTACCACTATCAGCAATAAATTTTTAAATAAGCTTTTATTTATTGAAACAAAAGAATACTTCTTTTTCAGTGAGGTTATTAGTTTTGCTGTTGAGATTCTGGAGAATGTTGTAGGGATTCACTGAATCTGTAGAGTTCAGGCATGTTGACAGTTCGTTCTTCCAGCCAACAAATGTCTGTCCACATTTTCGTGTTCATCTTCAGTTTTCCCCACAGTGTTTTAGTTTTTTATTGTTGAGATCTTACTAATTTTAGAGTTTCAAATAATTGTTAGGAAAATTACATTTCTGTCACTTGACATTTTAAATGAAATTTGATTAAGCTTAGAATTATTTTATAGTATATACCATGGTAGAAATAATATTAATATTTTACCAAAAGTCTTAAAGTTTAAAGATGCAATATTGCTTTCAAGAGAGAAACTGCAGCCAATTGAACAGAATTACTATTCTTTTCAACAAAGATTTATTAGCAGACCTCTTTGGAGAAAGCATGGCAGTGTGTTGTAGTCGACTACCAAATATTCTTCCAACAAAACACAATTCCTTCTGTCTTAATTGTCATGCATTAAAGAAGTACGCACTCCTGACATATAGGTCTATGATTGGAATACATGTATAGATTTATCTCATTCCCAGGCAGTGGGCACACATTGGACTCCTTTGTTTTGCATGCCTGTAAATCAGGCTTTGTCCTTCCTTAAGGCCATAGAATCACTAATCTGTTCTTCATGACTTTATTTTTTTAATTATTGATGACGTTATAAAATAATGATGAGGAAATGGAATCACAAAGCCTGTACTCTGGAGACTGACATTGTTTTACTAAGCAAACTTGTCTATACCATTCATCAGTTTACTGCATGAATCTATATCTGTAGTATGCTGTGCTCTTTTAACAGCTCAATAGTATTCCATTCTGTGAATGAGCCATGATTTCCCCAGCATAAGAAGATGAGTAGGTTACCTCAGGTATTAGCAGTTATAAGTAGAACTATTGTAAACATTCATGTACATAATTTTCAGTAAATTAGTATATATTTTTATTTTTCTAGGGTAAATACTCAGGAGTGGGACTGCTGGATCATATGGTAAGTGCATGTTTAGTTATACGAGAAACTGTCAGATTGTTTCCTAGCGTGGCTGTGCTGCACTCCAAACAGCTAAGGATGAGATTTCTCACTTCTCTGCATCCATGAAGCCAGACAGCTGCTTTTCTTGAGTCTTTCTATTTCAGTCACTTAAATACTGTGCTTACTGGTCTCATAATTTGATATTAATGCTCATGCTCCTTACTTCATGTGCTTAGTTTTCATACATATACTGTGTTAGAAAGTAGCCACAGTATTAACATATTGCTAAAATTCTTAAAGATGTAAGATTGGTATCAAAGAGAAACTACAGCCAATTTTTCAACAAAGCTTGAGTGTCATCTTCAAATGTATTCAAGTATGTTCACATCTTTTGTATATTGCTCTATTAGCTTGAGGAGCTTGAGAACAATTTTATTACAGTTTAAAAGAAAAATATCTGGGGGTCGGCAAGCTGTAGGTTTCAGCCCTGTCCAGATGAGAAGAATGGAGGAAAGAGGGAAAGCCAAAGTGTTAGGGAGCCATGCTTGGAAAAGAGGTGGATGGAGAACAGGAAATTAGGCTTCTCTTTTTCTGACTAATTCAGAAAAACTGGAAATATCTTTGAAGCTGCATGTCTCTGGGGTAGAGAAGGAAAAATATCTCAGTGAAAAGATTCTACCTATCTCCTTAGCAGGGTTTGAGATGAACCCCCCTTCATAGGAGCAGATCCTCCTGCCTGTGGGTGGTCCCTTGGCTCCTTAACTACAAATCTAAACAAAAAGGTAATCCTAAAATCATTAAGGAACCAGATCATGGTTCAGAGCCTTGACCCCTAGGCATCTCTGGCCTCTGAAGAGGATGGGGCTACCAAAAAGACCAAGGACGTTTCTGGTTTTTATACATGTTTTATTTTAATTATTTCTTTTCTGTTCAGTTTTAAGAGATTTTCATATAGTTGGGGGTAAAAAGCCTACATTGTACATATGATTTGTAGTATATCAATATATTTTATTCTACCAAGCCTGTTTGTCCGTTTATATGTGCTATAATATTTCCCTGGAAAGCAAACGCAATGTCTTGAAGTCCAACTTTTCAAATATAGTTTTTAATGGCTCCTGGTTTTGGTATAAGAGCATATCTAAAGCCTCTAGGTGGTTTTAGGTAATAAAGATGTTTTCCCAATGTTTTCTCTTAAGAGTTTTATACTCATATTGAAAGTTATGAATTATGTTGAGCTTTGTTGTTGTTGTTGTTAAGTAAGAGACAAGGTGAAAGTGAAAGTGGTGGTTTTAATAGTGGTTGCAGTTTCTTCTGCACCGTTTATTGAAAGCACCATCCTTTCTCCATGGAAATTCTTTTGTGGTTTATTGAAAATCAATTGGACATATATGTAACTTTCCCCTTGTTCATTTCCCCTTCATCTCTGTCCCTTTTCTGTCAAAGCTCCATAGTAAACCATTAAGTAAGATTCTGTGATTCTCTCAACTTTGTTTTACCTTCTAAAAATTGGTTCCTCCTAGAAAAGATCATCTTGAGTAAGGTAACCCAGAAGCAGAAAGACACACATGGTATGTACTCACTTATAAGTGGATATTAGCCATACAATAGAGGATAAACATACTAAAATTTATATTCCTAAAGAAGCTAAACAACAAAGAAGACCCTAGGGAAGATGTTCAATCCTCATTCAGAAGGACAAATGCGATAGACATTGGAAGCAGGAGAAGACATGGAACAGGACAGGAGCCTACCACACACGGCCTCTGAAAGACTCTACTGATCGAAATATTGAAGCAGAATAGCCAAACTTTGGGCAGAGTGCAGGGAATCTTCTGAACGAAGGGGAAGATAGAAAGACCTGAAGGGGATAGGAACTCTAAAAGGAAACCAGCAGAGCCATAAAAACTGAGCCCTGGGGGCTATGAAGAGAATGATAGCCCAACAAAGGACAATGCATGGAGAGGACCTAAAACCCTGGCTCATATGTAGCCCATAGACTCAGTCTCCAGGTAGATTCCTAGTAAGGATAGTAGGGACTTTCTCTGGCATGAACTCAGTGACTGGCTCTCTGATCACCTCCCCCAGCCCCCACTCCCGATGGGGGAGCAGTCTTACTAGGCCACAGAGAAAGACAATGCAGCCAGTCCTGATGAGACATGATAGGCTAGTGTCAATAGAAGGGGAGAAAGACCTGCTCTATCCTGGACTAGGGGAGGAGCATAGGGGGAGAAGAGGGAGGGAGGGTGGGAATGGGAGGAGATGAGGGAGGGGGCCACTGCTGGGATACAAATTGAATAAATTGTAATAAATTATAAAAATAATACATATGTCAAAAAAAGATAGTAAACATTAACTTATTCAAGCTAAAAAAAAAAAAAATTGGTTCCTGTGGTTTCACATAGGAAATTTAGGATGAAACTTAAGAAAGAAAAAGAAAATTCCATTGGGTTGATTGAAGTTGTGGCACATCTAGTGGTCCACATGAGGACCACTGCATTCGCTGTGACTTTTCTATCCCACGGACATAACAGACCTCCTGCCCCCGCCCCGGATCTTTACGCTTTCGTTAGTGGTTGTAGATTTTAACAGTTAGAACTTATAAATTTTTATTTAAATTATTAAATTTTAATGTTCAATACTGTTTTGGTTTTGACTTTTCATCTTGGGATTCAGCAAGTACACCTGTACCTGACATCTTGTGTCGGACTTATCCTTAAATAATTCATAATTTAATGCTGTTTATAATTAGAGGCTTTTAAAATGTCAGTTTTCAGTTATTGGCTGTCTATTGGCTGTCGTGTACAGAAATACAGTAGTCCGTGCTGTACTCCTTTAGCTGTCACGTATGAGTAATGCTAATCTGCCTCTTTTCTTCTCTGGTAGATGCCAAAATTGGTATTTTCTACTTAGATGATTACTTGGTGTCCTTTTTTTTTTTTTTCTTGGTAAATCCTTGGCTGTTCTGGAACCAGCTCTGAAGCCCAGGCTAGCCTCCTCACACTCACAGAGATCCACGTGCCTCTGCCTCCAGAGTGCTGCTGGGATTAAAGGCATGCACCACCTCAGCCCAGATTACTTGATATCTTACTGCTGTGAAGAGGCACCTTGACCACACCAACTCTTATAAAGGAAAACATTTAATTGGTGCTGCCTTATGTTCTCAGATTTAGTCCAATTGTCATCACAGTAGGAAGCATGGCAGCACATAACCAGTCATGATGCTAGAAAGGTAGCTGAGAATTCTACATCCAGATTGGCAGCAGCAGGAAGAGAGGGAAACTGGGCCTGATTTGAGCATTTGAAACCTCAAAGCCCACCTCTAGGGGCACATTTCATCCAAAAAGGCCACACCTCCTAATCCTTCTCAAGTAGTGCCATTCCTTGATGAGCAAGCATCCAGATATAGGAACCAGTGGAGGCCATTCTTATGTGAACCACCACACTTGGTATGCAGATAAAAAACAGAAATATTTCTTCCTTTTTGATCTGGAGTCTGTCCCTTTGCCTTTCCCTTTCCTTTGCCTATTAGTACATCCATGGAACCCCAGGATAATGCTGGTCAGAAGAGGGAGGAGAGACTTCTTGAAGTTAGCAGGCAACAGTCATTTTCCTGTGAGTGTAAGGTCTTATATGGATATTTCTGTGACAATTTCTCGGAGGTTCTGACAGGGTGGAGAAAGCTTTCCCATGAATGGATGCTGAATTTTGTCAGAGGCGTTTTGCCTTAATTGTATAATCATGTATCTTCAATGCTGGTGTTAACTATCAGTTAATAGTTCTCCCTTTCCTACAGTGACGTTTACTTTGTTATTCTGTTGTATCTTTCTCTATATTGTTAGAAGTAGTTGCTAATAGTTTCTTGAGGAAATTTTGTCTCTACTATAAAAGTTACAAGTCTCTAGTTTTCTGTGCTTTACTGAGATAGTGGTAACAGATTAAGATTAGTTAGTTTTCTACTTTTCTATACTCTGTAAAAATATTGTGGGCTGGAGAGATGGCTCAGAGGTTAAGAGCAGTGGCTGCTTTTCTAAGAGGTCCTTTGTTCAATTCCCAGCAACTACATGGTGGCTCATAACTATAATAAGAACCAGTGCCCTCTTCTGGAATGCAGGTGTACATACAGGAAGAATATTATATACATAATAAATAGATCTTTAAAAAAAGAAATGTAATGTGAAAATATTGTGGAGAATTAATATTTTCACTCACATTTGTAATAAAACTGTGTCTAGCTATTGCTTTGATAAAGGGCTTTTAACTGTGATTTGGGATTTGGTATGGTTCAGTAATTTGTTTTCAAAGCCGTAGCCAAGTTACCAAAGTTGCATTGTAGCATCACTCAGTGTTGTCCTTTCCTATTGGGTGGCCATTTTCTAGTCCTGCTCTCATACTCTGTGTTCTTCCTGTCTCTCCTCTCTCTCTTCTTTCTCTGCCTGCCACAGATTTGTTAATTTTATTCTTTAAAAAAAGAGAAAGCTATTTATTTTCAGTTTTTTAAAATCTGTTGTTTATTATTTACTTTTTAAAAATTTGCTCATCTTTTCTAAATTTCTAAACAATAGGAAGTTGTTGGATTGACTCTTTACTTTTTTAAACTACCAAGTATTTGTTATCAAAGTTCCTTGCTACTACTATATTAATTGTACATTATACATCTTATTATCATCCCATTTTAGTTATTTAATTTTAATTTAGTATTTTAATCAAACTAATTTCTAATAGCATTTAAGATTTCTGTGGCCCATTTAGTTTGCCTATTGGGAAGTAAATCTACAAGTTTAAAAATATCAGCGTTTTTCTTCTAATGTTATTTTAAATTTGTTTATTTATTTTATATCTCAATCATAGCCCTTTCCCCCTTCTCCTTCCTGTCTCATCCTCCCCCCCCTCTTCCTCTTATACCCCCTTCCCTACTTTAAAAGAAAAAGGGAGCCCCCACCACCACCAATGCACCCCAGCACATCAAGTCACATCAGGACTGAGCACATCCTCTTCCCCTGTGGCCTGGCGAGACAGTC